CATAATTTTGATAAAAGCTAAGTTTCAGATTGTTAAGTTTCAGTTGGCTCATTTTCTTTACAGGAAAAGATATTTTATAATGTTTAATATTTCTTTTACTATTTATTGTGTTGAATGAAGTTGTTCAAAATATAAAATGGATTGTAAAAGTAAAAAAAAATTCCGACGAGTTGTGTCTTCTCTGTTGTATTTATACAGGCAAACCCGTTTCCAAGAGGGGTGAAATAAAAGCTTTCGTAAATAATTGGTCACTGGTCAACAGAGGAGTAAAAGAGTTGTTCAGTTGGTTAACCTCTCACTGCGGAATTTAGTAAGATCCTGGTGGATATCAAACATATGCATGATCGGCTCAATGTCATTCGGGACTCTGCCTTCCTAAACCTTTGGTGGTTATGATTTAACATAATTAAGGCTGGAGTCCATGCAGAATGAGGTTGACCCGGTTGTGATACATGTACCAGTAAGTAAAAGCGGGACATGTTCTTATCTATGATCTTGTCCTGTCCTTGAAGAGTTATCCCCCTTCGATTTTATTCAATAAAAAAACAATTATAAAAAAACTTTCCAATGAATAAATATATATATATTTTTTCATTTTCTATCCCTTATAATCAAATGAATCTTTCTACCACGGCATTTATTGATATTCAAAGTATTGATTATTTTTAGTTTCCGAAATTCACTTGACTCCATAGACTTCAATGTAATCTTCATAGAATAATCACTGCTTATATGGGTCATTTTCAAAAAAAGTCTATTTTTTGAATGACATATTTTTGAAAAATGAAAGTGGTTTTACTATAATTTTTTCAACTTTATTTGAATAATATAGTAATAAACTCCTAAAATCCACTGCATTGCATAAAAGAAAATATTTCTTTTTAAAAATATTGACATTTTATCTTAGTCACTTAAATTTTAATGTCCTTCCTGTTACTTTCATAAAAAGAGCTGTAAAACTCTATTTCAAAATTTTTATCAAATAATCTTTTGTATATCATTAAAAAATGAAAAAAATATCATTGAATGCCAAGATGTTTGACATTCATCTAATATATGAGCGTTTAAAAGCATGTCAAACTACCATATACCAAACAGAAGCAAAATCTATGGGTTTTTCTTCATGAAAAGCCTTATGGTGAATATCTATATGCTATAGTTGAAAAAAAAAATTTTTGTACATTATTTTTGTGATAAGAATAAACAGTTACATAAAGTTATTTAAACAGGTGCTCTGCCAAAGCAATTTAAACTAGGAAAATATACTGGTAACAGTAAGGACTCGGGTAACAGGAAGGACAAAACAGTAACAGGATGGACAAATCAGTGTAACAGGATAGACAATGAAATCTACATTTTAAATAAAAATTGACTTTTTTTAACTTTATTGTTTAGGAAAAGAGAAATAAATGTAGAATAAAAAACATGATTTTGTCAAATCTGGCAAATTCGAGACAATAAAAGACATTTATGTCCATCCTGTTACGAAATTTAATTGTAGAGTGCTATTAAAATATTTATCACTTCAATTTTTGTTTTTTAAAGGTACTCTATGCTGTTGCAAAACTAAGAATTTTTCATAATTTTAAGAAAAACAAATGATAAAACTTAAATCGGTATATAAATACCAGGATAATTTGTCCCTCCTGTTACAATCTCTGTCCATTCTGTTACAAGAGTGCATGTTTAAGTAGTAATGGCACTATTTTAAGCACTAACATATTTCAATATGATTTACGAAGTTTTTTAACATGTGTTATTAAACTTTTATTTCTTAGAAAAATAAAAGTAATTGTTTTTATTGTTAAAACTCAAGATATGAAGTCCAGTTTTCCTTACTGTTACCATATTAATGGTAACAGGAATGACAGTAACAGGATGGACGTTATTCATATAAATCACTCGTTATTTAGTATAACGTACTCTTTTTGCATCATCGAGACATTGAAACAATTTCTTTGTAGCTTAGTTAATCTAATTGTTTTAGCAGAATAAACAATTTAAAGAGTACTTGCATATTAAGAAGGTAACAGATAGGACATATTTTTATTATACTCTACCAATAAGACAAACGTATCGACCTTTGAACCCTTTCTTTACTCACTTTCAAATCATGGCGCTCATAAACTTGAGACAACAGAAAATGATGATATATTGTGGATCATGAAAACAGTTCCTAGGAAAGTGAGATAACTTTTATTTTAACATTTTTTTTCTGGTAACAGGAATGACATAAACTGGAGGGACATGTCACTTCCTGAATGTTAAATGCACAATACTAGCATTTAGTGGGCGGGATAAGTAAAACAATCATATTAAATTAATCTGTAAATAAATTTAATTAATATGAGTCGCAAAATTTGTACATATCTTCACATGGTAATATTTTCCCTATCATTTAAATTAGCACGTTATAAAATTTTTGTTAATGTGACATGGTTTTACTGTTAAATTTTACTCAGAATGCACATAATATTTTTTATAAAACACCTGGGAGATGATCATAAAATAACTTATAAGCTGTATGACCATGTATATTAACCAACGGGAAAAAAACTTTCACTCTAAAAAATGTTTTTCCTATTTTTCTGATCGAAAGACAAAAAAGTAGACTTTTTCTGAAAATGGCCCATATGGGGTTTTTTTTGGCGTGGTAAATCTTATTGCACTCGTACATGCTTTGAAATAAGATGAAGTATTTTCAAATACAACTGATATTTAAGGTTTAAAAATTAAGTCTTTATATGGGTTGGATACCTTAAAAACCATTTTTGTTCATACACACACGTAGAAAATATATTGTGAAACACGCAAGAGTCTCGTCACAATTAATGAGGCTACAGAGACGTTTTAATTAGAAATTTTCCAATATAGGGTAGAGAGAAATTCAAAACCTGAGTATATTTTGGGTGTTCTTAAACTTGAAAATCTAAGTATTAGGAGTGCTTTAAAGTTCAGTAAACTGTTCGCAGTAACTCAGTCGGTAGAGCACCCGCTTCGCGATCGGGAAATCGTGATTTCAAATCTCGGCAGCGAGTGACCTCAGTCGATAAAAAAAATGGGTACCAACTGTTCCTTTGCCTTGTGCTCGGCACTTTGGAGTGAAAGTTGACGATCCTTTTAATGAGACCTTAAAAACGGAGGCCCATGTCGCGGAAGGCGTTGACACGATAACGATCCCTCACTGCTCAATGGGCCTGAGTGCCAAGTAGAGGTCAAAATTTGACGCCCTTCATCGGTATATGGAGAAGTCTCTATATTTGAGCGATAAATTCTCGAACGGGACGTTAAAAATCATACAATCAATAAATCAATCATTATCGTTTAGGGTGAATTATTGGCGTGTAAATCACACAGACTGCACATAGGCATATTTTTCATGAAGCGCTAGAATCATGATTTTATGATTAATGCATGGTAAAACATGATTTCATGGTTTCTGGTAAGACAAGATGGTATATGGTAAAACATAAAAACCATTTGTTTGTTTTACTCTTAATCACATTTATAACCTCAATTAAATGAATGATATATGTAAAGAAAAGTTGCTTTTTGGTATTTGCTATAGCTGGTTATTATACTAGTAATTAGATCAAATTCAACAGATATCGAAATGTTTAATTTGTACATACTAGTTTGCTCTCGTTGCTTTTTTTAAAATCAAGTTAATCATGAAAATGGGAAGTCCCCTAACATACATGTAGAAAGGAAATTGAAACGCTCATTATTTCTTTGTTATTCTGTTTAAAGACCCCGTTCAAAATACTGTTCTAGCAAACATGTATTTTGTTTAATTTTGCCACTCTGATAGGCTGCAGTCTTAAGGTATTCAATGAAGGGATTTTAATCAATTTTGAATAATTTTAAACTACTTAAAAAAACCTTGCTAGATAACAAATAAACTGATTCAAAAGACTGTTTATGCATATTTTCACCAAAAGATTTGTTTCCAATTCAAATTTCAATCAAAAATATCCTTAAAAAAACATGCGCTGCCCATAGACTTCTATATTAAATTTAAGTTGCAATGAATTGGACATTAATCAAATGTTTGCAAATCCCTCTGGTGGAGCATTTTTATTCAATAACATCTTTAAATTGCTACCATGATAAAAAAAAATTGGACCATTCATTAATTTGGTACACAATATGGTCGTTATACACTGAATACCTTAACAAGATTACGTACATGTAACGGTCATCTTTAAAACTGACATTCCATGATAAATGTTTTGTACCCTAAGCTGGAAGTACATGTAATAAGAAGTATGATTTGCAAATTTAGAAGGTTGAACTTTCTCAATATACATTGTAATTTATATCTTTAATTATTACTAGTAAATACAATGTACACTGTCATAAAGACCCGTGTGCATGGAATTCCTCAAAAGGATTAAATAGTGTAAATAAAAATGAAGTATCCAGTGATCCAAAATAATGAAATAAGTGCTGGATTTCTCATTTCCAAGAAAATCATTCTGTTGAACACAAAAAATAGAAAAATTTTCTGAATTTTTTTTTTGGTGAACACAATTAAATCAAGCTTTTGCGACTTCAAATCACATGGTGTCATCATGACTCATTAAGGTTTACTGGAATGGTGATTACTTCGCTATCCTCGTGCTTGTCTTGGACAGGCTCCCAGAGAACCAGGTATATAGACCAGTACGCAGCATTGAACAAAATAAATGCTATGGGGAACCAAAACAAATTATACAATTTTTTTAATTAAATGTTTTTCTATTGTTTTATCTTTCTCATTACAATGTAAAATAATAAAAAGAGTGGAAATTGCGGCAGTTTTATTTATATTCAAACTAAAAGCTTTACTCGGGAAATAATTTGCTGCATTTCCTTTTCCAACAAGCTGTATTTTATGCATTTTACATGTCTTATTTGATTCGGGTGCATTTAAAAAAAAAACACATTTTACAAATATTTAAGTCTTTCTTAGAAGGATTCCAGAAAAAGTCGACTGATGGTAATTTCCAACACCAATACTACCCCCCGAAGACATGCTCATTATCTCCGAAAATCTGTATCCAGACGTGCTCCGTTCTGTTCACGTTTATCATCACCATTGCTGAACTAGAATCTCCTGCACCAGTGTGTGGTACAAGATTCGAAGCACGGGGTTTACCACCGACCATCAGTTGGGTAGCAAAGTAACTACTTCCTGTGGCTATGGTCCAATGAAATAAATAGATGCCTGTGGCTGGAGCAATGAAGATACCATCTTCTGTGTGATAATGGCCCCCGACGTTAATGTAAATCTTGTCAAATCTTATGATCACTTTGTTGCTTATATCTCTCTCACTAAAGGATTTGTAGGCAGAGAAAAGGATTGGCATCGACTGATCATCCAGAATGCCTATTAAAAAAAGAATGTTTGAAAACACTTAGATGACGATGAAAATTGGAGGCTTACAACCATTTTTTGTGTACTGTAGATCACTGAATTTTTGCTTCACTTTATTTTCGCGGGATAGGCATTGAATTTCTTCATATGCGAGACAAAATCTTCACAGATTGTGGTTACTACTCTTTATAAACCTAAGGAATGCTATTAATAATACGCGAGAATTAATTTTTTGCGAGCACACTGTCTCGCGTAATTACTTGAAAATGAAGTTTTCGCGAAAAAAGAAAAGTGATTTACAGTATATGCCATTATGTACACATTGTAATGTTAGCAACCTAAAAATGTAAGGCACTATCTGAAGGTAAGAGGCTAAAAATAATTGCATTGCATGTTAAGAATGTTTTAGAGATAATATCCAGAGATATGGGCTTTAAAAATATATACTAACAGTGTTATGCAGAAGGAATTTTTTCAAAAATGTTAGTAACAAAATAATACATTGTTACATGTACCAATATTATAGTTGATATAAAAATAGTTTTCTTCTACGTACGTCATTTTATTTATAATCTAATAAATTTTCTGCAGTGTAGTAACTACCTTATTTTGTCTCTAAAGTCCAAAATTGCTTTTACACATGTAATATTGGACAATTTGTATTGATCTACATGTATTTTCTGAAAAATATTGGCACTCTTTTTTTCAAAATGCTATGCTCCCGTATACATGTTAAAATGATTTTCTCTCAAAAAAGTTAATATATTAATGTATTTCTTTCTCTTGTTTTAATCTCAGGGGGATTTCTTTCTTGTCGTTGTCTTTTTACTCTTTACCGGTATGAATAATTCGGTCTCCCATATTTAAGGTAGAATTCTTTTCTGGTTTCTAAGTAGATGAAATATTCACTGTATATTTGCTTATATGTCTTATATATTAAGCCGAAAGAGATTTAAAAGACCATTATATTTTTTCTTTTCTCATCATCATTGCACAACTTTAAATAGAAATGGTAAATTGTTTTCGAAAACTAGCATGGACTAATTTTTTGGCGGAATGGTTGCGTATGATAATATCTCCTTTTTTGCCTCTTAAAATTATTATAGATCAACGAATTTAGCTGAAATTTTTACACAGTCGGAGACTTGAAGAATTTTTCAAATGTTAGCTAAATTAATAATAAGGGACTAAATTTTAAAATATATCAAATGAATACCGGTATGATTTTCCAAACAAACTACAATTATGTTACCTTTTAAAATCTTCCAATCTAAGTAAAGATATGAGCCAAAAATCCATAGAAAGTGTTTTTACTCTCTTAATAAACGGTCAAAACTTTTTGTTCTGTATCATTTTGTATGAGTTCTTTACCATATGTGAAAATAAGAAAAAAATAAAATATTATACATGTTATAGGGCGCATATAAAAAATAACTTAAATATCCTAAAAATTTAAGTAAAATAGAGAAAAATTCGGATTAGCCAAATCCATTTTTGTTAAACTTTTTGTGTCAATTTGGAAGAAGGTATGGTTTTAGCTTTATTGCGCCCTAAAAATGTAATGACATCAAAAAGTTTTGAAACTGGTTTAAATATTAGTTAAATAAACGACTCTGATAAATCAGGAAAGGACATGGCATGAAGGTTTACCATTCTGCAAATATGAATCATTAATGTGAAGCATTTCTCTATTTTCAACAGAAAAAGCCTCAAAATGGCACATTTCAAGGGTGATTTTCCTTTAGAAAACAGTTTCCACAGCCGTCGTCCACGTTAATTTTTTGATATTTTGTGCAAAATTCAATAACAAATCACATATCTCAAGATCTTTGTGGGCGATGCCTGTGGACAATGTTATCTGAAAGAAAATTCCATTGAAAATTGATGTCTTCTGCAACATTTTAAGAAAATACGGGAAAATACCCATGTTTATGACGTCATAATTAGCATTTAAAAACACATGTGAGAAAAATGATTTGTATGATTTTTTGCATTGAATTTCAATTATTTAAAAAACAAGAGTTTTCAACTTTTACACCAGTTTCATTTTTAAAAAAATCACAGGGCAAAATTTGTATGGAAACCATACCTTCTTCTTTGGTAATATCATCTTATAGACCCAATATGGTAATATCTTTTTATGCTTATTGAAAAACGTTTAATCTTTTGAAAAGGAAGACCCTATCGCATGATTTGATGCATTCATTTTTATTCTTTATGTCCAGGGAAAAGGTAATGACATTGACTATAATATAAAAGCGTCAAAACTAATCTAACTGATACCATCACTTAGTTATATTGTCCTCTTGATTCTGTGAAAATTTCATTAATTTTTAAATACAAGAAGTACAGTTTTGTGTGAGAAGAATCCTACCATGCATTTTAATTCGCATTTCCCCTTTTGCTTCAATGACAAATACAGGCATTAGCTTCCAATTAGGCACTTTCGTACTGCTTACCAAATGCAATTCAAAGGACTGTAGAATCGAAGTTATTTCAGTGTGTAGCATGTGTAGGGCACAAACCAAATATTTCATTTTTGGGAGGGGTACTATGGAGGTGAAATAAGATCATCAGTGGTTATGACTGAGGAGGCACAAGCTTAAAGTAATTTTTTTTTTTTAGCATTTTACAACATATCCGCAGAATCATTCCCCAATTTCACGGTTTTTATGATCATTTCTATTAAACTTTGATACAATGATAACAGTCTCGTTTAAGTGGCCGAAACAATTGTCATCGAATAGAATATATCATTATATCGAATGTTGACCGACCTTTTCATACATATTGTTAGACCATTAATCTGTTTATCTATACTGGTAATTTGTTTTCATTATTCTATTTATTTATTTATTTATTGCTTTATTGTTTTGCTTTTTAGCTCACCTCAACGAAGTTGGGGGAGCTTATGTAATACCCTCGGCGTCGGTGTCGGCGTCAGCGTCCCGGGTTAAGGTTGTTATTTTGGAGCAGTTTTCTTTTTAAGTACTTATATGTCCTATATTGATTAGACATGCATGGATGATGTTTCTTATGTTTTTTTATTGTACCAGTCAAAGTTTCAGATGCTGCAATTTCAGCAAAGGAATGACCAGGTTAATAAATTAAATGTTTTTGGAGCAGGCTAACATTTTTGGTGCAGTTTTTGGTGTAGGTCTCATTTTCGAGTAACTTTAAGCCCTATGTTGACCAAACTTGTATGGATGGCACTAGTACATGTAAGAATGCATACTCCCAGACTTGCTTCGGTTGCTGAATTTGACCTACATTTTCCGGTTGAGTGAACAGGTAAAAGTTTTTGGTGCAGGTTTTATTTCCAAGTTACTATGAGCCATATTATGACCAAACATGCATTGATGGTACATCTTAGGATGCATACTACCAGACTTGCTTCGGATGCTGAATTTGACCTACATTTTCCGGTTGAGTGAACAGGTTAAAGTTTGTTGAGCAGGTTTCATTTCCAAGTTACTTTGAGCCATACAATTACCAAACTTGCATGGATTGTACATCTTAGGATGTATACTACCAGACTTGCTTCTGATGCTGAATCTGACCTACATTTTCCGGTTGAGTGAACAGGTTAAAGTTTTTTGTGCAGTATTCATTTCCAAGTAACTTTGAGCCATATAATGATCAAAGTTGCATGGATGGTACATCTAAGGGTGCATTCTACTAGGTTAGCTTCGGATGCTGAATCTGACCTACATTTTCTAGATTAATGAAAAGGTTAGTTTTTTATACAGGTTTCATTTCCAAGTAACTTTGAGCTCTATGTTAAGCAAACTTGCATGGATGATACATCTTAGGATACACACTAATTGACTTGTTTCAGATGCTGAATTTGACAATATACATTTTCCAGATAATGGACCTCGTCAAAGTTATGGGTGCAGGTCTATTACCAAAGAACTAAAAGGCTTATATAATACAAACTTGCACAAATGATGCATCAAGGGATGAAAACTCTCAAAATTGCTTCAGATGCTGGATTTTAATTACGTTTTCATTAGGGATGTCAAATCAGTAAATTTTTAGTACTCGGTTACTCGGACGTTTTTCCGATCGAGTACCCGGGTACTCGGTAAACAGTGTAAATGAATATTAACAAGTAAATTTATGACTGTAAAACATTGAAAACTCTTGTAGAAATAAAATCACGTGCTTTGATAGGAGGTTTACCCGTAAAATTTAATGTATTTCTGTTGTAACAATGAAATGCACTTTGTGCCCGACAAAATTTAATGTTACATTTTTTTTAATATCAGATAAATACAAGAAATAAAATCATAAATGGTTTACACTGTTTTTGTTTTAGAAAAAAATACTCGTTCCGTAAATTGTAACTCTTTGTTGCGTTTGACGTCCAGGTATCAGCTGCAATCGTCAGAGCTACGTGCAGTATCAACTTGAACTTGATCTTGAGTTCTCATAACCGACTTTTCATGATGAAGAACTGGTTTGAAGTTTTTATATAGGTCTATTCCAAGGTATGAAATCAAAATTGCATAAATTTTGCATTTTTGGATGTACACTTTTTGTTGGTTAATTGTGTGACTTTACCTTACTTAAAGACAACTTTCGTTGAGATGAGCTATGTAACCTCTGACTACCTATGTTTGAATATGTTCTGGTATTGTTGTTAGAGATTGAACTACCTATACAAATTTTGTTTTTGCGTTTGATATTGCTTTTTTGCCCTCTCCCTTTCAAGATCAACGAAAAATCCTTGGTTCCCCTATATTTTATAACCAAATTTACAATATTATTATAGTAAGTATTCTTACCAGATCTAAGAGTGAGAACATCCAGGAACGACACATTAGCATTATCTCCTCCAGTAAGCATACGACCCAAAGCGCGCTCTGTAACATCCAAGCGACCTTCTAGTTTAGACATACGCTCCTCCAAACCTGAGAAATTTTTGCTTGTTGTCAACTCATTCATAGAAGCTACAGTGAGGTGAAAGGACATTAGCAGGAAGAACATTTTCGACTTCAATTTTAACTGTTCACGAGCCCTTGTTGATGGTAACTGAATAAGATCCAAGATTTTTCCCACTTTATAACTATATGCTCTGTTTAAAAGTTTTAGCTTGCCCGTCTCTATACGACGTTTGGATATGTCTGAGAATGCAACAAAAAAAAAGTTTTGAGAAATAAATTTTCACGAATTTTAGTCGCACTATGACAAAAAAACGAATATTATACATGTATTTGGCTTAAAAAACGAAAATTTAATTATAGACTCTTTCGTCAAATGAAAACAAACTCCGGAATATTGCATATGGCTGTAGTACCAGGGGAAGAGTGCAGCGAACTCAACAATACAGGCCATACGATAAACAAAATCGGAAGGAAGTGCCTTTGCTAACATTTTTTTGAATTTCTGTGCTTTTAAAGTTGTTACAATGAAAATTTAGTAATATATTGTATTCATTTTTACAGGAATTCAAATGAATGATATCATTCTTATGTAATAAATTCTAAATATGTCTTGTAGCAATAAATCGACCATACATACAGTAATTTTTTTTAACAATATATTTATTTGAATGACATATGCCCTTAAGCATGTTCAGTTCAAAATAATGGTACAAGTAGTGGCCAACTCAAAAAAATATTAACCTAACATGTCCATTAGACCCGTGAAGTGTACTCCTTATAGGTTAGTAGGTTAATTGACGGAGAACAAGAAGCGAATACTGGCGCCTTTATCAAATGTCATGCTTTGTGGTCAGATAATGATTCACCCATCTATATACGAAGCTCTATTCAATAAATTTGATATCATACACTAAAAAATCATATATTTTCGTGGGGTCAAATTTTCGTGGTATGAGTAAAAACTCTTGATTCGTGGGGATTTGATATCGTGGATGAAAAATCGTTGAGAAATTATGTATGTAACATTTTACACTTCGTGGTGGACATGAATTCGTGGGTCTCTTCAATACCCCGAAAACGACGAATATTAAACTCCCACAACATTTTTTGATTTCACAGTACATGTATATATCAATATATTTAATATATTTATTTAAATATCTTTTGGAGTAAATGAAATTGTTTTTGATAAAGCCGAGGCTGCACACAGTGAGCAAATAAGATATCTAGCTATTTGTACAGGCTAGTGAAAGAGGGACTCGCTTAAATCATGTTTTATTTAGTTTAGATCTGATTGTTTTCGTTTGAAGACTCTGAAAATACAAAGGTTATCTTGATCCTCCTTCATGTTTTAACAATTAACAGAAAAGCGTGTGATGATAATTAAGTCTATATCTATGTTACTTCAAACCCTTCATCTTAACAAGATTCCCACGATTTACAGTTCACGTGTTTTCACTGCATGACAGCGGAGGAAACAATTTTCAGTTTTTGAAGGAAAAAACGATGCATGACTTGCATCTTGATTAGGTGTATGAATTTCTTTTTTCAGTTTCTTATATTTATAAATATCTTATTATATGTTTCGTAATAGACTTCTCGACAAAGGATGGATTCCTGTCAGAGAGTTGACGTCAAAATTGATTTTTCCTGGTGAATAACAAACCATATTCACCACTAAAAGAGTTCATACTCGTACATGCGCGGATCTAGAGGGGGGTCGGGGGGGGGTCTGGACTCCCCCCCCCTGGAATATACCAGGTTAAAAAATGTACATGTATATACTAAAACAAGTAAAAGTTACCATGGACCCCCCCCCCCCCCCCCCCCCCCCCCGGAAAACGCTGACCTCCCTGGTAAACGCGAATATATGTGAAATGGGTATGAAAATTGAAAGTTTTGAGGCAATAGAAGTCACCACTACCACCACTACCCCCTCCCCCCCCCCCCCCCAATAGGTTTTTGACGTTTGAGCGAGTTTAGGGTTTTTTTTGTTTTTTTTTTCTTTTCCTTGTCAAGAAATTTCTGGGATTGGATTTTTTTTTTTGACTGGGGTGGACCCCTTCTGGAAAAAATTTCTGGATCCGCGCCTGTCGTATGAAATAAGAAATATCTATTTGTAAGAATGTAATCACAATAATATTCTGTTTGATAATAAGTTCACATGGTATACGTAGGTCTATTTAAATCATTGTATCACCTAAATCTTTATTCACTTTTTCCGTGTAGAAAAGGATTCATGTAACATGCTAAAAGGAATCGAAACTCAACTTTTCAGTAATCAGCTTTCCTTATACTTATGTATACGTAGCAATATACCCATATCAGTTGTATATGGAGTAAACGTATACCTCTCGGTTGATATGCAAGAGCATGCTCCTTGGCATGAACAATTTCTAAAACGATGCAAACTATTGACAAACAAGTTGGTGAAACATGAGTATCAGTAGTCTCGTTTAAAGTAATCATTTCGTAAGTTCTATGGTCTATACAATGACCTTGTCAGCAAAAACAATTTATCATTGAGTCAAATGCTGACTGACGTTTTTCATACTTACTGTTAGTCCATTTTTTATACACTGAATTGACGACGGATTTTTTTCAATACATCCCGATCATGACAAGGAGCACATGGCGCGTGTGACCTGTCAGCAGGGGATGCTCACTCCTCCATGGCACCTGATCCCACTTCTGATGTTTTGGAGGTCCGTGTAATTTCCTCTGCTCTTATTTTTATTGATTCAGGCTTGAATACTGTTCGTTATCTCAATATTTAGTTCACGTTCACATATCAAGTTTGTATTGATTTTTTTCTGTGTTAAGTTATGCATGGTCGTTTGCTCCTATGGTAATTTTTGCCCTTTCCGCTGCCCAGTTCTGCAGCTAACCGTAAATTAAGGTGGACTTTGGCAAATTCCAGTCATCCAGGGGAAAATGAAATTGTTAGAGAAAAGTCTCCCATGAATAGGAAATACCTAATGCTGACCTTGCGATCTTTCCAAGTCAAAGTGTAAAAAAAAAAAGACAATTCAGTTAGCGGATAAAAAAAGGAACACATGCACTTTTCAATGTCTATATTCCCATCAATGTACATGTACATGCATGGCTCTCATTCTTATTTAAGAGAGGTCAGTAAGCGAGTCCTTTTTTTCCTTGGTCTGTGTGGGTGGGTGGGTGGAGGGGGGGGGTCAAACGTCTTATCTTTTTCGTTTCTTCCAGATGGAAATTTACTAACTCTGACGTTCTAGGCAAATGAAGGTAATTCATGAGATGAAAGTGGAATGCGTAGAAATTAAAATTGAACAATGGAATAGAGACTTAATAAATGAAAAGCTTTACATACCATAGCATATTTTATTGAAAAACAAAGTTCACATTTTTTTCAGGCTGAAATCCAATATAAACTAACCAAAATGAATTCTGCATTGTTAATCCTTTAAAATATTTTTTTTTTTTTTTACATTTCAATGTGAGTTTTTATCAGGAACATGTACAGATGTAGGTGAAGTAGTTATAGTTGTTCGAATTTCCTAAGACACTACATCCGTAAAATTAATCACGTTTGCCAAGAAGTAAAAAAAAAAATACATGAAAATTTTTTCTTTCAAAAATCAATGAAAGGGGGGTTGTAGAAGCAATCGCGGGGTCCTCCTAGAAAAACAATTAATAATACACACATGAAGTACGCCATCCTTAGACCAAGCGCCTTTGGCTATGGTTCTTTTATATACAGTAGATATGATATTTTTAAAACATATCAATTTCAGCGATTTTTATTTAAACGAGTGTATTCAGACACACCTAAAAAACCCCTCAAAATACCCTAATCATGTACCGTAATTACATCGGGCTCGAGCTCTTTGTGTTGACCACGTGGGAAAACATTTGACAGGTGATCGACAGAGAAACGTGACTGTAAGTTGGTCGCATTGAGACAGTGGAACATATTATTATTATTAAGTTCTGTTATATACTATATCCGTGCATGTAGAACCCCAAGCTTCGAACAATTAAGCGTATATAATAAGAATAGTATTACACCTGCTTATGAAACTCGTCAGCTAGAATTTCCTCAGCTATATATGGAAAACATTTTCATGGACAAGGACGGCTTTAATAATACCTCTATTATGATATTATCATATCTTAGAAAGAGTTATTAAGTCCATTAATTAATTTCATTGTTTCATTTGATTTTTACCAATGCACTATACACTAGTGTTTGTTTCTTTCTCGTAAACTTGCATTGAACAGTGTTGAAGAGCATAATATTATCAGCTGACGGGTGCGTCGATTTACCCAAATAGACCCAAATGGAAATTGAAGAATTTTAATTGAACTTAAAAAAATTAATATTTAAATTTTAAAGGGGGAGGAAATAAGCACCTCCCTCAAATTTACCTGGTCTTAGAACCCCTGTCAATCATCTGAAATTACGCCTGGGATTGGTTACTTTAATTTGACTGACTTTTAGTTTGCTGCTGTTGTGTATATCTTGTGTACCTTGTCTGAAGATCGTACCGACCATCGAATTAACATTCAGGCTTTTGATGCCTACCGCATATGCCAACGTGATAAAGAAGTAGGCAAAGCGTTCTTGTTTAATTCACAAGAATATGGCATAAGTATAATTAATCCATCAAATAATTAAATAAATGATAAGAAAAATAATGCCTATATTTTATAATTTCAATTTTGATGGGGGATTTCATTTCATTCACAATTACAATCGATCATTTTAATTTCTCAAAGCATGGGTTAACGCATATTTATTTCTCCATAATTAACAAAATAAACCGACCTGCGTTTGAAGCTAGTATCATGGAATTAAATAAAATTAATTTTTAAAACAAGGATGGCAACATTGTAACTGTAAATACATTGTTCAGGAGTCAAGTGAAATTTATATTTATTTATAAGACAAATTTGTACATGTCGCTAATTCTTCGATCGAGACATGGTGACGAAGTTACGTTATACAGGTGTATTTACCAGTTTTAGAAGAGATTATAATAACATCTTGCTTTGCATTTAATTAATATTTGAAATTATGAATCCCAAAAGAAAAATGTATGATGCTGATGATTCCATTCCCGTTTCACCCATAGGCCTAGCTGTCAGGGAATCATCTGCGGTCCGAACCCCTGGCCATTTTTACAGACCATGCATTATGGTAAATCACATAGGGTTTATCTTAAAAAAATATTGATTTAGACATTTATATTTCTGAACAATTTATTCTCAAAACATCAGTTCTAAGTTTTATTGTTATTTACCGAGAGACTTAATTAAGACCCACTTTCTCTTTTCGTTTTGCGTACATGACGTGTAATTTAAATTACTTCCCTTTTTGTCGCCAGATTATAACAACAGATTTTTGTGCTACATGAATTTCCGTTATAAAATTTGATTAACAAACACGCAGTATATTGAAATTGTTGAATTATTTAAAATATTACTTTTAAAAGAAAGAATTTTAGAATTACCAGGGTATTAAAAAATATCAATTTTAAAAGAAAGAATGTGAGAAGGAGTCTGTCCGCAGAAAACATGCTTTATTTCATGCATTTCAACTGAGCTACACATGGGAAAAAAACGGCTTCGTTTTACAATGTCGTAGGAAAACGCATACAGGTAATTCACTCAGGTAACATTCTGTGTATAAAGGTAGAATACACAAGTCAGCGTCGTTCCCTGGGGCTTCTCAGCCGCTTCGATTAAGCTCCACCCCACACCAAACTTACCTGAGGAAAACCGTACGGTTGAAAACCTCGGCCTTTAAGCAAAAACAAGGGAATAAATCCTTAAAATACACCACAGGCACCTGATTTTTTATCCTGTGAATACACCCATTATAACTTACTGTACAGAATTACTTGGAGAAATAAATATTAGTAATATCTTAAATTATATTTTGAAAATATATTCATATACTGTTTGTAATGACTTTTGCACATCATTGAGTACAATATTGAAGTTTATGTATACACTTTCCATGGCTTTAGGAACTGAGCGGGGTGAGGTGGGGGACGAGAGACCATGCCCCCCATCCATCCCAATAATTTTGACTTTACATGTATATAAGAATATTTAGATAAATAATTAATAAATTCATTTCATTATTTTAAATAAACAATAGTACCTATTTGATATTCCATTTGGTTTCCGTTTGGGACCAAATGTTATGTTTCCATTTAGGTCCATTTGGGTAAATGGACATGCCGTCAGCTGACTACTGAAACGGGTAAAGGTATCAACGTGTATGTATCAGTAGGCCTTTTCACAAAATATCTAACAATTCGTTTTCATTGTAAGAGAAATTTCACAAATTTGAACCTTTTCTCAAAAATTCTTTAAAGACTCTTTTATGTGTAAAATTTGTCATAACTTTTAATTACCTCTTTAAAGTATCTTAGAGTCGTTTTTACTTTTAAAATATAAATAAACATTAAATATGACATTTTTTGCATCCTATAATCATGAAAATAGCATTTTATGCTATTTTTAATTACAATTAAATGTTGAAAAATTAAATATGTTAAATGAAATATATTGAAATCAGGGTCCATGCAAATACATGTGTATTTACAAAAGCAGTTTCTTTCAAGATTTTTGTGTGATCTACTTTAATTAACATCAAACTTGTGATTGTGACATCAGATTTCAAAGTTCCTTGCTTCACAACCAATTGCACTCAATTTATTTTGTGCATAGTTTTTGTTTCCCTTTCAAGCGTTGAAAACTTTGGCTTGAACATTTTTTTTCACCCACTTTTTAAGCATTATAAAGCATATTGAGGTCTCTGATAGGGAAGAAGTGAGATGTAGTTAAAGTCCCAAGTTCAATCTACTATAACTGCATTCATAAAAAGCACTAAAGATCTTTTGTAAGAGATTCTTAGTAAGTTAAAATCTTATGCAATAATGATCTTTTGTGAAATGGCCTACAGGTATAACATTTTGATTTAGTTCCCAGAGGTGGGATGTGGTTGTCACTGAAAAACGGTATTTCTCTTTGGTATCGTCACTCTTTAGGATTTCATGTGGTTGAGAAAAGTTTTATTTGTTTTTTATAGGGTCTTGTTTCCATACAGTTTCATCATTTTTCATTTTAAAGAAATATAATGTATTGAGTTAAAAATCAAAAACGACCACAGAAAAAAAAAATTAATACCTTGATCAATCAGTATTTTGGTTTTTTTTTTCATTTTGGGTCGTTTCAATTTTCTACATTTATTTTAAAGTTTAAAATCTTAAATGCATGAAAGACAAAACTTCACTGATAATTTGTAGAAAACTGCGAACATGGCCAATATTAACATGCATTTTGGTTTGCATACAACACTTAAATTGTCCTGATGTGTTTAACTTGTAAAAAATAGTAAGTTGGACATTTCACATACCTGTGCCATTTAGTTTTTATTTAAAATGTCAATACCAATTAAGGTATTTTGATTAATTTTAAGCCAAGTGAAGAGAAATTTTAATTTAGGTAGGAATGATTTCTTGCATTTTAGTAGCTATAGTAACTGCTTAATGTTCCTTACTTTCAGATAAAAAGTAAAACAAAACCATGGGGCGCCTGGCGAGAAAGAAACAACACAAGGGAGATAAACCAGTCAAAGAGAAATACAGAACAAAGAGGAAAACTAAAGACTTGGATGAAATCCACGAAGACATGAAGCCAGGCAAATCACGGAAACTACTGAATCAGGATGTGGATTTTGACAAACCAGGGGCGGGGCAGTTTTATTGTCTACACTGCGCGTAAGTTCTATGAATTCTAACATTTTAATAAGCTAAATATCTCAATGTTTGGCCAAAGAAAAAATATTATTAGTTTCTCAAGCACAGCCACATCAGGTCAAAAACTGCCCCATTTACCAACGTTATAGACATATTGAAGAGAGATTTTATTTTTAAAAAACTCAATTTTTCTAAGTTGTAAAAGGAAATAAAAAATCGAGTTATGCCCCTTTAAATGCTAAGATAAACAATATCTTTCTTGTTTTTTTCAGATGTTATGCATTAACTTTCAAATAATATTTGAAATAGCATGATTTAAAGTTTGAAATATTAGATTTATTAAATGTAAGAGAACAAAAATTTATTATCAGTTGATATGATCTTTTTGTTGAACAACTGACATATGAAGAAAGGTATAACACCTGTAAAAAAAATTGCCACATTGAAAAGTATTTTTATTTGTTCCATCTTTTTGCAGGAAGTATTTTATTAATGAAGACTCCTTGAAGACACATTTTAAAAGTAAACCTCATAAAAGAAGGTAAGCAGGAGTTATCTTTCTTAGTACAACAAAACTGAGAGATTCTTTTAAGCAGCATGTAGTTTTGATGACTGCTGCCAAAGTGGTTGTAGTCACAGGAAACTTCTTTTAGTGAAAAAAAATCTTAAGGGCATCTGTATTAAAATATATAAAATACCTGGTTACTGCCTTGAAATCTAAGCTTTATTTAGTTATTGTATGAAAACATGATAGAGGGCAAGGCTTGCCAAGCCCCTCATCAGGTTTTCAATCGAAGCACAAATGTTGCTTATATTTCTAGACAGTAACCATGCACTTTGTTTATCCTGCAACATTTTTTTACCAGTACATCTGATCTCTAAAAGGAGCAGTTTTCACTATGATTTAGGCACATCTTTGCAGTTGAAAGTAAGATGCCATGGCATAAACATTGCAATTACTGTGGTTTCATCAGTTTTCATTGGCATCAATTATCGTGTATTTTGTGAAACAAAAGTTTTCAAGAATACTTAATCTCGTGGACAAAAGCATTGCCTATACAAATAATTAACATATTTCTTAATTCAATGAACAATTAAATCTGTGGATCTGAACAACAAAATCCTCAAAAATTGATGCTCAACGAATATTGATGAAACCACTGTATATGACATCACAATGTTTTTAAAACATAGGAACACATACACAAGGTTTTATTAGGACATTGACCAAATACAAAATGTATAGCTTTGTTTTATTAGGTTACCTTTATTAGGTCAATGCAAGGGGTAGCTGCAGGATAAATTCTGTGCTACAGTACCTGAATATCAGATCAAGGATTTAGAAAAGAATTTTCACAAGCTGTACACTTGTAGCCATGTCATGTGACTCAGGAAATGAAGCCATTTAACCCATAATAAAAAATTATCTGTTTGTTGTACTTGAACCAATCAGTTTAAATTCGTCCCAACCCAATCTTTTTGGATGTTACATGTAGCCTTCTTTTATATGAATTTTGTACGAATATAGCTCAAATCATTTTCGTGTCTATATTTTTCAGGTTAAAAGCCCTGTCCATAGAGCCCTACTCTATAGAAGAAGCAGAGAGAGCAGGGGGAATGGGGTCTTATAAAGTGCCAAAGAAGGTTACCGTGGAAACACAATCAACAAACATGGATACTGATGACACATGATGGACCTATACTGACTCTTTATCTGTTACTGTTTGAAATTAATATAAGACTTTATATTTTTTGAAATCCTAAAATTCTTTTATTGGAAGGAACTATAAGATCAACAGATCCTTTTAAAAATAAAACAGTGAAGTTCAAAAAAGGATGATTATTTTTGTTAGGGGGTTGGGGTATTAAGATGTTTTATTAATTTATTCAGATTCACTTACCAAAAAGATGTTGCGAGTAAAACCATTCCAGAATTTTAACTTGCAATATTTTTAATGAGCTTGGATATTAATTATCTGAAATTCATTCTAAAAAATAATATTGTGAACAGTGATCTTGTATTTATTGTGTTCATCTTTGTTGACGGAGCACTGTTAATTTAGGGAGACACTAACAGTGGAATGTTAGATGAATCATTCACATATCTGATTAAAATCAGCTGTCCTGATATTTTAGTATGTAAGTGGCAACTTCTCAGAACAGCTGATTTTAATCAGATTGACATCTGATAAGTATATACGGTCCATGTAAATATTGAACAAAGGAATTGGTGATGACATTACACAAAATGAATACAAGTTAGATTACAAGACACAAGGAGTTGGGACCCAATTTTACAAAAATATATATTGTATGACTTCAGCCAAAATATGTCCTTACAAAATTTTTGACATTTTTTACTTTAATAGATTTTAAAATTGGATAAAAAAAAAATAATTAAAAAATGTGATATTTTTTTTTAAGAATTCAAGGTGACAATGTGCACCTTTTATGCTAAAAGCTCATATGAATAGGTTTTTTTTTCAGATCAAATGTTGTCTAGTGTCCATCTGTCAGTAAAGTTTACACACTTTTGGACTTCTTTTCAGGAACTACTGGGCCTCCTTTAACTAAAGATAACTCAAAATATTCTTAAATTGATTCCATCTAATGGCAGCCATGCCCTATTACAAGGAACGATAATGAAGAAAATGGAAAAATAGCATTGACTTTAAAAATTTAATTCTTAATAAGAACCACTTACCCAGAAATGATGAAACTTTCTTTGAAGCCATCTGAGGTAATAAAGATTCAGAATTTTGCCAATCATGGCTCCTGGTTAAAGGGGGGGGTATGGAATCAAAGTTTTACTTTGGAATATACTGAGAAAAAATTCTTCATGTTAAGAACCACTGGACCAGACATTAGGAAATTATCTGACTTTTTGTGTTTCAAAAAGTCATCTCACAAAACTATCAATTTCAAACAAAGTTTGTTGAGATTCTGAATACATGTAATCTGTTCAAGTGGTACAAGGTTCTAAGAATTTATGGAAGACTGAGAATGGTGTAATTGGAAATTATAAAAGGTGTTAAATATAGGACAAAGTCCAAGATATACTCCAGGAAGTAAACAAAGCAGGAGTCTCTAACAAGACTGTAGCTCTAATGCTTTTTACATGACAAAGATGGGGAAATGTAGCACTTGGACTTGAAATTATCTTTACTTTTGGCATACAACAGTACCTATAGCTATAGACAAAATATGTGTATATTACAGCAATAAATGTACATAATTTTTTTTTTCAGTGGATCCCCCCCCCCCCGGCTCTCCTTTGATTTCCTTTTTAGGGTTCTCTTGACTCTATCACAGGTACTTGTGGACAGGAACACACACACACCCATATTCAACCCCGGGGCTTACTGGACATTTTTTCACAAATTATATTTATTATACTTATTTATCATGTGTACAAAAATACCCTACTATACATTATAAGGGAATGTATAGTAGGGTATTTTTTGTGGAAGGATTATTTTGGGGGTTTTAACGATTTTTTCCTATTGTGCACATGATGAATAAGTGTAATAAATATAATTTGGGAAAAAATGTCATAAGCCCCGGGGTTGAAGGGGGGGGGGGGTCCTGTCCACAAGTACCTGTGGACTCTATATATGTAATTGGTCTCACAAGTTTGTTCTTGAAATCGATTCTTAATGACAAGAGACAGTTTTTATTAACAGATTATGAACTTTATTGTATTTTTATGCAATATAAAAACACCTACACATTTTATCTTCACTTGTATGTCTCAAACTTGAATGGTTGTAACCAACACCCTGCTGTCAACGTAAAGATAGTGTATGAGTTTCAGTGAATTTCAAATGAAATTCAAGTGTTACTTAAGAAGTGCTTGAAGACTTTTTGTTTGCATCTGTGTATTCACAAATTAAAATAACCTGTGCTGGATATCAAACAGATGTATGCAGAGTCTGATAGCTTAATTTTATGTTGAGACAATTTTACGTAACCGATAAATTAAAATCATTTCAGATATTTGAGGAAGTATAGAAATTATTGGTTTGTTTTGTCCAGTGGTACAAAAGTATTTTCATAGCTCTAATCGAGAACAGTTATCGTCGAATAATCGATAATTCGAAATTGCTCTCTCAATCCTGCACTCATTTGTCTGTTTTTATCTATGTGTTTGTGTATACATAATGAGATAACCAATAATTAATAAGTCCTGAGTCGTCTGGTAATTTTCACTGGAGTACGGCAGACGTCATTCGCAAAATGGCGGGCTCCCCTGCTGTGCACCGTTCTCCTTGAGATAAAGGCTTCCCGTAGACAATATGTTGATATGAAATGACAATAATTAACGCGAGCAGTCACAAAGGCATTTAAATCCGTGATGAAAACCCTTTAAGAACTCTGTCAAATCATTTGATAGAATTTTTCAGCTCTTTGCACATTAAATGCTGGGTTTTAATCAATTTGTTGTGTTTTTCATCAACTCTTTATCCGCTGTTTTTAAGCACCGCCAAAAACAACACCTTGCATTGTATGCACATTTTTGCAAATTAAGAATCTGGACTTTTGCCCAAAGCACTGCAGTAAACTATTTTATAATCCACTTTAATTTATAATTCCTCCAAATCACAGAGACGTGCGAACTTTTCAACGGATCAACACAAATCCCTTTTGAGAGAAGGCAACTTATATAATCTAGATCACAACCATGCATATAGAGAGAAGAAAATAAAAACAAATTTGAAATAAATTAAGGCACCTTTTACAAATTATTCATTTGGACGTCAGAATAATAAATAAATATACTCTAGCTCGCTTGGACCTCGACTGGGGGTTCCGTGGAGTTCGGGGGTGGGGTATTTCCTCCCACAATATTGTCGTCTGCTCGATCTCCTGACGTCATGTGGGAGTCGGATACACCTTTAGGAGGTGAATTTCTCTTCACAGATTTTTGACTTAGTTTACTACTCAGTGTTCCGTTCATCTGACTCTCAACACCCGTTGTCTTGGACCTAGTACCGAGATGAACTCGGGATGTACAAAATGCATCAATTTTGTCTTGCACTGAAGTGTCAATGTTGGGTAAAACTAAGGGAGCTAACTGGTCCTGTTTGGGGTTAATATAGTGATTGAGCTGAACAGGTCCGTTGATCCGCTGAGATTGTAACAGTTTCAGTTTCTGGTAGGGGTCACTCAAAGCCTGGGAGACCAGCGCCTTCACGGGACTGGGGTCTATTCGAGGGGTCCTTATCGGTGAGCCTCTACTGTTCTTAGGAACCAGTTCAAATTTCCCTTGATGTTTTATAATTTTCCTAGCGGGAAAATGTTTGTATGTTTTCTCGAAAAAAGGAAGAGGGGTGGTCGCGGGTGATTCAGCCTTGATCGTGGATTCCCCATCCTCTGTTCCTATTTTCGGTTTTTGCATCATAAAAGTAGTAGAGTAATAGGTGATTTCACGAGAACGCCCGAGTGTTCCCCTTTCCGATTCTAACACACACTTGTTAGTCAGTTTAGACGATAGATCCGCCACCTCCTGTTCGCGACACCGTTGGTTCATCTCCGTCAGTATCTGTTGTTGCTTCCCTAACCGTCGCTTCTTAAAGCTGGTGGACAGTTCCATGATGGCTACTTTCTCGGGGGTCGCCACTCTATGTCTCCCATCACGAAACTGAGTGATGTGTTTTAAGTTATCCCGGGTTGGGTCCTTGAGAAACGGAGGCGGGGGCTCGAAGTCCTCCATCGAAACTTGGGCCTGAAAGAGCCGCATGTTTCACTGGTCTAACCACAAGACTTGGTCTCACACTTTCATGGCATAAACACACAAGAAGAAAAAGTCCAATCGTGGAATAAGATCTAAATGTGGAATAATCACCTCGTATTCGCCTACGTCATTTTCGTATAATTATCCTCAATCACATTAATTGAATATCAATTTACATCGTTGAATTGTTCCGATTTCTTCCATAAAATGTGCGCAGTGTCTATACTGCTTGTGCCGCTCCGTAACTATAGGAGGGATTAATTCACTCTCTGCTCGTTTAAACTTCCGATCTTAATCAAGTCGTATATTTTCTTTCCCCTTCGTTAATTCCCTTTAATCATTGGTTTAATTCCTTCTTCTTTCAATCAAGACTGACTTCTTAAAGAGTCACGGATATGTTTCCTCTGTATTCAATGCAGAAAGAGCTTCTAAGTTTACATTTACAATGCAAATCGTCACTCGGAACCACGGCCCGTGTTTGGTGTTAGATTTCCGATTAAGCCGGTTGTGTATTGAAAACTGTCCAATATAGCGAACCATAAAAACAATTAGGAACATCAAGTATATATTATCAAAGATACGAATTGAAAAATGACGAAACCGATATTGCAAATATTTGCGATAAATCAAACTTTAAATAATGGCATCGGGTAGAAATATCGAATTCTTTATTGCTAAAATCTTAGTTTAAATTGCTTGTACTTTAAATGTCACTTGACATAAAGCCCCTCACAGATAGAAAAGTTTCATATTTTTGTAGCAATTAACTGGGCCATACTGGTCTTTAAACGGTTCATTTCATCTCCACTCGAGCTATTACAATACTATTGTACGTCTGTCATTAGAAATAAAAAGGATACGGAAAGGATATGTTTGTTAAACACAAATATATAGGATTAAGTTTAGTCTTTTCCTGGCATTTGAAGAAAAAGCTTTTTATGATTTTTATTTACATATATCCTCATTCGGTAAATGAGAAATCTGACGATTGGTTGCAATTTTAAATATTATCGATAAAAAGCTCCAAATTGATTCCGTGCGTATCAATTTAATTATTGTTTAATAGGGTTTAGTGTTTGCTAGTGGTGATATTTAGATTCCGTGCGGTTCTAAATGTCTAGAACACATTGTGTTACATGTTAAATATTCAATAAAAAGTTCCAAAAGTCACAAGGACAGTGCAAGGCAGGGACAGTGCAAAGCGCAAACATCCCCTTGTAATCCAGACAGCATTCGACATCGATTTCTATGCAAAATACATACATGTACGTCACTCCCAATCTCTCACCAGAGGGCGTTTTACGCTTCGCTCAAACACAGCAATCGGCAATCCTTGGCTGACTCCGCTACGCTCCATTCAAACCTCGGATGTGATTAGTGGAGGAATACGCAACAGATCCTTACATTTCTCCGCCGGAAACTGCCTTATCACTCATTTCATATTTCGCTCTGCATAACGTTCTTCGTTTCTTAATTTGTGCAATTCTTTATCGTAAACAGGTTTTTATTACAACCTCATGTTAATAGGCTTTGAAAGCATGAAAAAAATGTAGAGTGTGCCACAAAATAACTTCGAGTTCAAATGTATGACATTTGAAAGAAATTCAAATAAGATCACATGACTGAATCAGCAAGATGGTAGATCACCGATGACGTCCGAGGTTATGTGCGAGGTACGAGTCATCCGAGGAAATCCGAGTGCAAACACAGTGAAGTTTGAGGAGCGCGCCCTCTAGTAAGAGATTGTGTCACTTCCGTTTCACAAAAGACGTAACCCACAAATAAACACATGTACACAATACATTGCGTTACTTTATCCCGTTAAAGTTGAAGGAGCTAAAGATGTAAAATTCAAGGAGAAGTCATGCTCATGACATGATACTGTAATTAACCTCATTTTAATCATTAAAAATACAGTGACTTCCTTGAATAAGTAATGCTTTAGAACCAATAATTGCTGGTTGGAGGGTTCTTAAATTTATTTCAATTTTAGAAAAAGTAACTGAAAATTCCGAAATTAATAATATTACTATGTAAAACTTTCAGCTGAACATGCTGAAGGGTATAAATGTATATAAAATATAGTATTACGGAAATATTGTGCAATTTTGGAATTAATTCGCCTTCTTTTGGTGTAGCGAAAGTAAAATTTTTAATTATATCAGTGATCAGGGAAACAAAGAAAAAAAAGTAGCATATTATGACAATAAGTTATCCCACAGGGAGAAAAGGTTTAATCATCTCTTTACATTGTTCCCGCATCTCAAGTTTTTAAAAACTTTACACTCCTGCAAAGGACAGACGGTGTTCATTACGGAAATATGGATTATTTTGAAGGAATCAAGCCGTATCTAAAGTCACCTAGTCATTTAAAATTAATCTGATTTTAATGTACCTTACTTAATTCATTTATTAAATTTAGACAAAAAATAATATTTGACTTTATTATCTTCTTCATGGAGTTACCGTCCTTCCTCTGGTGACAATCCAGTATGCTCCTTATTCTAGATGGATAAAAAAAAATCATATCGAACAAACAATTACTTTATTTTCAAAAATACCACAAAAGTGAAAATTGCAAAAATCATGGTTAAAATGGCATCTTTTTGTACATTCCTCCTCCAAAAATATGTTAAACCGTTTCACATTTTTTATACTTTCTGTTTCATAATCTTATGCGTCTAATTCTCTCCTAAAGAAAGATGAACTGGTCTTTAACCTAGATTTTACAGGGCTTACAAAAGTGTTGTCATACATAAAATTTATATTAAGAGTTTCATTCAAAATTTTATAAATTTGTCCTTTTTGTGTAATTGAATTCCAAAGATGTCATTGTTGTAGATACATTTAAAAAAAGATTTTATGTAATTACAAACATTGTCATATATAAACTTTTATTAATTAAGAGTTGCTATACAAAAACAACTCCTTTTTTTATATTACATAAGCTACTGCATTCAGTTGTCATGCCACTACAGTCACGTACACGTATACGTAATTTAACAACCACAAATAATGGGCTAGTGGGCTCTTGCATTCTTTGAATTTACAGACTATCATTTTCATAGGATCCATTTGTCAGACTCTGATACTCTTCACTCGACCAATCATTATGCAAATCCAATTTGATATATACAAGTTTACAAATTTGTCGGCAATCGCATTGACCAATCATTATGCAGAATCAATCATAAGTGTATTTCACATTCTTTACATTGACCAATGATTAAGCAGAAACATTCTGATACTTTTCCCACAATTCTTCACATTGACCAATCATTACGCAGTATCCATTTGGTAAGTCCTTACAAACTTCCAATCACTACTCACACAGAAAATGTTGCTTCCTTTTTTAGCCTTCATGAAGATGGGACGGGGAATGTCTTCAATAATTCCAAGAAAAGTACCGTCACCAGACAACACGTGTACGTTATTACTGCCTCTCCCCGCCACATAAATCTTCCCTCCTTCATCTTGATCCACCCCTCGTGTACTGACGAGATCAGGACTGGTGTACTTCCAGATTATCTCCCCTTCTTCATCCATAGCAGTGACCGTATTGGTAGACACACTACTGTAAACAATATGGCCGCGGTCCGTCACCGTGACGTAAAGACTGCAGCCTTCCACTGGATATTTATGGATAAAGTTTCCTTCTTTGTCGTATTTCAAAATAGCAGATTGGCAGGCGATGTAGAGGTAATCATCTCCAATGGCAAGACCATGAAGCCTGTACGTTCCCTCTATTGAAAATCGCCTAGTTTCTGTGAACGTATCAATGGAAATAACACTAATGCATTTTTCGTCTTGTAAAGTTACAAAACATTCATTCCCATCATGCTGAGCATCAAATGACCTTCCTACTTTCTCAATTTCTCCCGCGGAATCCCAATCCTGGCTTGTCATGGAATACTTGAAGAGTGGCTGTTTCAAGAGTGGCTCCTCAATTCCGCAATTGGCCCATACACAGTTAGCGAAGAGAAAAGTCCCATCTGGTAGGAAGGTTCCACCAGAGAGGTACCCTTTTTGTATACTGAACTCATAGAGGAGTCCGAAATTGGCCAGTCCTCCATACACTTTCTTCTCTTTAACACTAAGACGTGAAAAATGTTCTATTTTCTTCATATCAGAAAGCTCTTTTGACATTTGCGATTCAATTTTTACCTTTAACTCAACAAATACCTCCTTTCTTAGCATTTTAAAAGATCGTTTGACTCTCAAAAATTCCTTCATGTAATACACGCTCCCTTCTTCATCTAAATCTTGAAGTTTTTTCTTGCAGTGTTCTGTAAATTTAATCCTTTCAGATATGGAATCAATTTTCTTGTTCAATTTCTCTTTTCCTTTCTTTGTAAGACCACCCAGTTCTCCGAGATGTTCATTCTCCAATCTGTCCAGATGTTCTTTTATCTCTTGTCTTAGTTTCTTCGTTTCCTCTACAATATCATCTGAAGCATCGTCAAAAACGATGACGTTTTCCTCTTCCTTCTCCCTCAGTTCTAACAACTTGTCTTCATAGCTCTTCAATTCACTCAATATGCTTCTAACTTCCTCACTGTTTTTAATTCTGACAGCAGCTTTTTGTATGGTCTCTACACTGTCACACATTCTGTGATCGATACTGACACAGAGTCCACAGCAAACCTCGCTGTGATCCTCACAGTATAATTCAATCTTTCTCTCGGGATGATCCTGACAAAATTCATCCTTCATAATGGCCCTGCTGATTTTCACGAATATTGCTTTAGGTTCGCTCTCTGGGACGATGACGTGAGCCCGGCTAGCTAGACTTCTCTTGTGGTACTTTACGCAGTTGTTGCACAGTAACTCCTCACAATCGACACAGAAACTTTTAGCTGTTTCGACTTCGTTCTCTCTCTTACATGGTGCACAAAATTTATCCTTTCGGAGCTCATCGACTTTGTCTACAACATTACAGATGGGAAATCTTTGGGCCCAGTCTTCCGGCGTCTCGGAAACATCCGGGGACGGAATGAATTCTCTACATATTGGACACGGAAATCCCACCGGGGTTTCCTTTAATTCACATGAAGTGACAATATACGAACATAAACAACTGTTACAAAACAAATGTGAGCAAGGCAGGCATCTCGGTGTTTTTAGTTTTTCTAGACATATAAAACATCCAGTTATGACGTTCAGCTTGTTTTGTAGACTGCTGGATGCCATGTTCTATAATTACAAAAAAGAACTCACTTGATCAGTCACTCAAATCACCGTGTCGATAATGCGTGGTATAATTTTAGAAATACTGATCCCGATTTAAAATTGGAAATTATATGTAGGTTCCGATAGAATTTCTCCTTTATTATGAGATATTCAGCGTCGATTTCCTAACATCTGTTGTTAGCAATGTTAGAATATTTCTACTTTCAAAACTTCTTTGAGTTTTTGTATTACCTTTATCTAGTATATAAAAATTCCTGAAGTCACGATAACAACATGATACCACAGACCACAGGCCTTTGGATCGCTTAAAAAAAATTGTGTGTGTGAAAAAAAATAAAGGTACTGAACTCTTACACTGGGTACCTAATTTCGCTAATAAAATATTTTTTATTCGAATGCTCTAAAATTCTACTTTCTATTTAAATCTATTCATAGATAAACATTCTTCAATTCTACCAAAGCTCATTCCGAAATTCCATATATTTCTTGAGATATTCTGAAATCAATTTCAAAAATGACCTACTTTCTTTTACTCGACATTAGCTTGGGCCCCTGGCCATTCACATGTAAACAGACGGTGTCTGAAGTGCGGCGAAGAGTTGCATAGTATTTGCAAAATCTTTCAACAATTTAAAGTTGATTTCTTACTCCAGATTGTAACGTTAAGTCCGTAATAATATTCCTTTCGCGAAAAATTAATTTGAAAACGTCTACATCAACAACTACCGCCATGTTGATTACGAATGTAAATGAAGCCATGGTAGAACGAATTTTTCCCGGAATGCATTATATACCTTTCGATTTTCAAAACAATTAGACCGCTAAAATGTTGTTTATGACTTAGTCACACCATATGTTCAAATTAAAGAAAAACCTTGTAAAGCTTGAATGCAAATGAGCAAATATTCATTGAGTTTAGAATAAATTCCGGGAAAATTTGTCCCGTCGTTCCCGCTTTACAGTTAGTGAAGGCCCAAGCTGATGTCGAGTAAAAAAATTATTGTCAATTTGGGAATTGATTTCAGAATATCTCGAGAAGTATAAGGAATTACGGAATGAACTTTGGTAGTAATGAAGATTGTTTATTTTTGAATAGATATGGATAGAAAGTAAGATTGTAAAGCATTTGATTTAAAAGAATTTTATTGGCGAAAGTAGGTACCCCATGAAAAGAGTTCCATACCTTTATTTTTTTTTTCAACACCTCAATTTTTTTTCTAAGCGATCTAAAGGCCTGTGCCACAGACACTTGTTCATGATACACATGTATTTTCCAATTGCTCATCATGTCATGAATGTGATAATTTTAATGAAATACAATGAGAATATTTACACTGCATTACCGATCCTGAATCTTCAATTAGTTTGTAAAACTGCAAATATCTTAATATTAAATTATATTTCCGTTACAAGAATGAAGACCCCCTCCCCTTGAAAAATAAGTTTTGCTTTGAATTATTACAACCTGCCTAAAGTTTTGCTGCATATACGCGGCACATGTGGGGTTTCGATTATTTAACATCAAGGGTTTCAACTCAGAAGCGATGATTTCTAATTTATTGATAATATATTTTTTTTGAATGAGCCAGATATACCGGGTATATATTTGTAAAAATATTTTTGCTAATGAATTATAAGAGGCAAAAGGACAAGCACACGGGTTGTAAGCATGCGCGGATCTAGAAGGGGGTCGGCGGGGTCCGGACGCCCCCCCCCCCCCGGGAATTTGCAGAGTTATTAAATTTATATACTTAACCAAGTAAAAAGTTACCTTGGACCCCCAAGAAAACGCAGCCCCCCCCCTTAAAACTGGTATAGGGTTAAATTAGTATGAAAAGTCATGGCCATGGGTATGAAGAAGATTTGGAAGTTAACTACTACTCCCACCCAAACGAAATAGGATTTTCACGTTTTTTTTTTTTTTTTTTTTTTTTTTTTTTTGGCGAGATAACATGTTTTTTTGTTTGTCAACAAATTTCTGGGTCGGAAATTTTTTCACTTGAGTGGATCCCACCTAGAAAAAAAAATCCTGGATCCGCGCCTTGTAAGGATGTATCAGCTTCCATTTTATTGCAATAGTCTGGTAGTTTGAGCTAAATGTTCTGAACAGTCAGTCGACTGGAAAAGTTAGAGTTTTGCTGACATTCTTTGATTTTTATGTTACAAAAACGTACATTTAGAGCTCATCATTCGATGACTGACAAATGTTGATACAGACACAATTCAAACCGTATCAACTCACGTTAAATTTGGAAAATGTAAAAAAAAAAAAAAGAATTCCAAATTTCCAAATCTCAGAAAAATCTTCAACATCTCCAAACAAATTTTAAAAAATGGCGAAAAATTAAGGGTGAATTTCTGAAATATTTGTTTGATATATATATTTTTTTCTTCAAGAAAAAAAAGGATGTTTAGTAGCAATTGAGAATCATTTTTAAAGAAGCTGCTTTATCCATTAATGTCATGTTTGAAGTACCTGGGGATGGGAGTGGGGACCGGGGGTGTCACTTATTATCATACCCCGCTTTTGCGAAAGCAAGGAAACGTCTGTCCGTCTGTCATACATGTATCAGTCAGTACAATGTAGTTCTGTCCGTCTGTCACAAATACTTCACCCAGGCCATACACTGTACATGTATCTTTTGAATTAGAAGAGATAGGGCTTTTATATAACACACGTATTTTACTTTTGACAAGATCTTTTTAAATACAGTATGATTTTTGACCCCCTGGCCTTGAAGTTTGACCTACTTTTTAAAAATTTCAGCATTGCAGTAAATTGGCCATAACTTTTGAATGAGATGAGATAGGACTTTCACATTATATACATGTGTGTGACATGTATCTGTACTGTGACAAGACCTTTCTAAATACACTGATATTTGACCTCATGACCTAGACCTTGACCTTGAAGTTCGGCCTTCTTTTCAAGAATTATAACCTTGATATTGGCTTTTGAATGAAAAGACGTAAAGGGATTTCATATAAAACCTGTGTATTGCATGTAACAAGACCGTTCAAAATATTTATGATCTTGACCTTGAACTTTGACCTACTTTTTAAAAATGTTTATATGGGTTACATGTACATGTAAGTTTGTTACAAAAAGTAAACCTGGACTTTATTTAAGCCCGCGCGGATGATGGCATATACTAACGCAGTTTTCAGTCTCAAAGGACAGGTTGAAGGTTTAAGTTTGTTCTCCCGTCTCCCTCTCGTCACTTACGCTCGGGACACGAGACAATAAACATTGTATAACCTCAACCTTGTCGTATTTTAAAGGTCAGTATTGAAACATTTACTTATTTTATGTTTTTAACAAATATTTAGCATTCGTAGTTATGATTTCAGTTTTATTCTAAATTAACAGTTAGAATTAATAATTGTGAATTAAAGTTAGGATATACATATTTACTGTAAAAGATTAATTATTGGTCATCATAATATTAGGTATAAAGTCCTTTAAAAGATTCACTAAAGCAGGGAATAAATATCGTACTTCGTCGCATTATTTTATTAAAGTTAAGTATAGTGTTCTATTTTTCTTCTACAACATTTTGTTCAATGTTATTTTGTTAAAATGATGTCACTTGTTAATTTGTATCGGACGCCATAACTTTTGTAATAATTCTAGCACCGGAAATGTAACCGGAAGTAAGTTTTCAATATGGCCGCCAATGTTTAATGGCGGACCACTGTATTGTTTCTTAAGTATAAATTTAAGTACTTGATAATTTAATTCAATAATAATATTCATGTTTTGTACATTAATATCAATCAATAACATCTTGTAAATTAATTGATCTTCATTATGTTGTAATATACTTTACTTACGCTCGGGACACGAGACAATAAACATTGTATAACCTCAACCTTGTCGTATTTTAAAGGGCCAACAAGGAATATCCAAAGGGCCAAGGACAAAGGTGTACTGGCGTAAGGCAATCCCTGAGCTAATTTCCTGGCGGCCAAAAGGTCGCCGTAATATATACATGTAAATAAAACCTTTAAAACACGGTTTTCCTTATAAACAAAGCAAAGCCTTTACCTTAATTAATTTGATGTCTATGATAGATAGTTCAAAGATAATGATTTTGATTTTCAATAAGGAAAGTCTTGGGTCCCAGTTTTATTACCTGAAATATACTCTTCCACAAATGTCGGAAAACAACTAGACAGTATAAACAAAAGCGTCGGAAGCAAACTGAAATTGGGGGGCTAAACCAACAAAAATAGGTAAAACCTAATTTTCAATAACTATATATTTGCAGAAAAAAAGGGGGGGCTAAGCGATTCCGACGCCTATGATAAATTGTCAGTAAACTATGAAATGTTGGAATAAAAAGTAGAATATATTTTTTCATTTAATACTGAAATAAAATGCAGTCAAACTATTAAGATAATTTGTTTATTTTCCTATCTGATTCATATGAATATTTTTTTCGGTAAGAATTGTGTATATTTTACAAACACAATCAATTATTTATTTTCTGCCGTTCATAAGTAGATATTGTAAAATCTGTATATATATCCACTACGCACCAACTCTTAATACAATGTAGATCTTGAGAACACATGTAACTGATTAATTTTTATTGTATATATACCATGTTTCTTAATTTGAATTTATTTTTTGCAAGTTTAATTTAAATTTGATAGAAATACGTAATATCTTTATAGAAGTGGATAGGCTTTCGTCTACATCGACGCCGCATGTTCATAAAATTCATGGTGTCATAGAATTAAATCTGATAATGAGGTCATTGTGTATTCCTTTGGCAACCCCTGGAAAAATTGTGGAAATACTTTCTATATGTATCTCAGTAAATACAACTACAATTAATGCATTTCCATAGAAACCATTTTAAGAGTACTGCCTGATTTGATCCACAAATAATCGGAATACTTCGGGCATCATCGGGAAAATGTCGAGTACTGACCGCTGCACCCGAGGAGTTCTTAGACACTCTTGTAAACTATTCTGTTGTTTTCAAAAATATGTTAAAAGTCCATTCCAATGAAAAAGTACATGTTTCGATTTTTTTTTTTTTTTTTTTTTTTTTTTAGTTTTAATTTTTTTTTTTTGCAAATTCGCCTTTAGCCCCCCCCCCCCCCCCCCAAGTTTTTTCTTTATTTCGTGGCTTTTTGATCGTGTCGTTTTTTTAGTAGCTCACATGTACATGTACCTGCTACACCATGCATGCACTAGAGTAGATTTCGGATCGGAAACCCTTGCATGGCTAAATGAAGCAAGGTTTAGATATGTACATGTAAACTGTCAATTTAAGACTGAATATTTTAATGCCGACTTCGACGGCAGAATTTCATCCGTATATATATCGACCAAAATATTAATAAGATGTGATCAATTGAATTTTAACTATTTAAAAATCATAATATTTTCCATCGGCAATGCGCAATTGCATGTATTGTTCAGTAGCAAAGTAAGCGCGATATCCCAACAATATATTTCTTTCATATACATGTAAAACTCTATTCAGATAAATTAAATTAAATGTGCTGAAAGCTATATACAACTCCTTTTTCGTCCTATCTGTTAAATAACTGTTATAAAAATCTTCTCAAGTAGTAATCCTTTTCTTTTAGACCTCATCTCTATTCTTGTTTATAATTCAAAGATTGTGCAACTTTCAATAAAATGGGGGTAGTGTTGTTGTCTCTCATTTTTACCCGGGCATATAAATGACACCCTGTTTGAAAATTCAAAGAATTATTTTGAACGATGTTTTAATTTTAGATTTAAAATCTATAATAAATTACTTATAAGTATGATATTATATTAAGTTTGTAACAGTCCACAAGAAGGAATTATTTAAACAGGATTAAATAACTATCAAAATACTTGAATTCAACTTAATACAGATGGTTTCATGAATATAAGGGCAATATATATACGACTAGTTGCTAGGCCTACTAACATTTTCAAAACCACGTCTTTACAGCACGTACTCGCAAGTGCGCTGCGGGGAAAAGGATAGGTCATCAAAAAGTAAAAAAAAAGTAAATAATATTACGTCACAGACAGCGCAAGTGGCAAAGAGTTTAAAATTTTCGAAACGACAACATCTGTTTTCTTATTACATTTATTGTTTCTTGTAGTAAGAATGTATATATTATGAAATTAAATTGAAAAGGCTTACTCACTTCAATGCTCACCAATTCTTATTTCAGATTTACGATCGGGATCGGTCTTCTAAAAAAAGAGTCTCAGAATGATTCAGAAAAATGGCATCGTCATCTTCACAGAATGACCTTACAGCGTGTTCCATTTGTTTTGAAAAATTCAGGATACCAAGATGCCTGCCTTGTTCACATTTGTTTTGCCACAGTTGTCTTTCGTCATATATTGTGACTTCGTGCGCATCTAAGGAGAAGCCCATAGGGT